AAAGTGAAAGAAATTTTATTAAAAATTTCTATGTGTATAGCAAAGATAGCAAAGGAGAAGAGCTAAAAGTCTACTGCAGGGAGTGCAGCTCTGCTTTAATCATGAATTTTTTTCGTTATGGTTAAGAACAAATAATTTCTTGTGTTTCTAACAAACTTATAAATAATTTTCGAGCAAAATAGTTAATTTCTAATTCTTCGAATTTCCAGATTTCAGAAACTTTTTTCTTGCTTAAACTTTTATTGTTATTGAAACGAACTGACCTTCGCACTTGGATTCCTGGCACGTATGTTTCCCAATCCTTTTATGATAACTTTGCTCGGCCATCTTCCAGAGCTCACTGCCTTTTCTGCAGTCGCATCCGAAGCTTCGTGGATTTGCCCCTCATCTACTTCCACTAGATCATCGCCGGTTTCCTGCCCTTGCTCTTCGACATCCCTCTTCTCCAATCCCTGGTCGGGGTTTGGCGGGGTTTTCTGGCGGGGTTTTCCTTCTCGCGGCCCACTGACGACGTCCTCCGATTCCTCGGACGGTGAATTCAACTCTTCTTCTAGATCCAACCCATTATCAGTCTGTAATGCAGGCGATATTCTGAACGATGCATGTGGCATTCTGTAGAAAAATTTGTGCATAGATGCAAGTCTTTTTAGTTCTAGCAAGGGCGGTGGGATGGCGAGAATCCAGAGAATCCGTTACGAACAGTACACAACTCTAGTCAAGCCTGCAACATCTACAGCTATGCTGATTGCGTCTCTCTCTCTCTCTCTCTTGAGAATCACTGCAAAAGGTAATTGTGCATCCAGCTTTTCCTGAAGCAGACGGTATTTGGCTTGAACTGGAGAAGTATATTCAGCGTAATCGAGACATCAGAAAATTTCATTTTAGTGCTTCCTGAGAAAATTAAAAGCCAATTGTCGAGGCTTTTAATTTCCTTGCATTTTTTATTGTGCAACAGCGTATTAATCAATCCCTATGTGTATGTGTCTGTATTTGTGTGTATGTCATGTGTGTGAGTTTATGTACGTGGGTGTGTGTGTGTGTGTGTTCGAGTGCTTTTCGTCCTGAATTTTCAGTTCGAGAATCGGAGGTTGAAAGCTGAAGTTTTGGAAGAATCTCCCCTATCCGCGTGTAAACCTGCAAATTTAAAATCCGATCTTTATTTGTGTCCAGATCTCATGTATAACAACTTGAAAGTTTTGGGACGAGGATTATTAACTCAGGAGCTACAAGGTTAGGAAGTTGAAATTTACAATGGTGCTCGGTGCTACGTAAAATCGAAAGACGTACGCCC